TTCAACCTCATGCAAAACACCACAAATAGACCCTCAATTATTAGCATTATTAATACTACAAAGTGCCATAACTCAAACTCATACTCCTCAGCTCCCCCTCCCACCACAGACCAACAGAAGATGCGTGAGGAAAAAGATCCCCTCAGTTTGGCTTGCGAACTCCCAAATACTGGAATAAGTTTCACGTTCCGGTCTGTTTGTCAGCGCTCCCCAGTAGGAAAAAAGGGAGAGCCTTATAGCTAGATAAAACGACGGAGCACGGCGAGGCCACTCAAATAAATCAGCAGCGTTCTCGACTTCATTTCTTTTCGCGTAGCCTCCCTTGTTCCCGAAGGGGAGACTTTCCCCTGGCTCTCAACGACTCTCTGACTTAGGATGCTAACATTTTCAGCTTGCAAAAGGGAAACTGAGAATGAAGGGAAGTTTTAGCTTCGATTTCCTGCTTCCCAGTCTTGTTCATTTAAGAGGCAGTGTAAGTTCTAAGCCACTTTCAACCGAGCAGAAACTGTTGCTTAGGGCAAAGGAATCCCACTGGACTCAGTGGGGCTAACCCTAAATAAATGACCCTTGACTGGGCAACGCAACCCCTACGCCGAAGTCTAACAAGACTATCTCTTAAAGAGTAAGCACGCGATTGCAGCATCCCTATTTCTCAGCTGTAGGATTTTCAATTCGTTTTCTTGAATTCTTATAGTTTCTTTTCTCCTACTGTTGCTTCCAGGACTGGGTAGCTTATATAAGGCAGTTTTTAAATCCTGAAAAATGGATTTATTTCAAGGAAATCATAAGGGATATGAAAGCTCCAGTTAAGGGGACAAAGACCCGCGCTAGATGACTACAGCCTGGTGGGTTTGAAGAGGAAGGAAGTGTGGGGTGAATGCTGGAGTATTTAGCGATACAGAAAAAAGGGGCATGTGCCCGCGACGTTGTGCCACTTATTGTGTCTGTATAGGCAGCATATTGCGTTGCACATTCTCCTGCGAAATCCATGCAGTGATATATATACGGCCCCCACCCATCCTTTCTTTCCTTTGGCTGGTCTCGAGAGCCAGCGCGGCTTGGAGGAAGCCCTCCGGATGTTTGCTGCTTTTCATGTGGCATTTGTGGCTGGCCCTGATAACGCTGCTGGGACAGCTTCATCCACCCAACGCCACGCTTAGGAAAGGGACCGAAACAGAAAGGCGTCTCCTCCCGAAGGAGCTCGCCCCCCTCCCTCTCCCAGCCGCGAGTTGAAAAAGCCAGCCGGTCCCAGGGGTGAACCCTTCGGGTCATTGCCAAGGGGACGAGGCAGCCCAGAATGGTCCCAGAACGGGCGAGAAGGAAAACCGGCGAAATACATTTACTCCAAGATGCTTTTTCTACCCAAGCGCCCACCTATTTGGGCCCAGCTGGGAATCGGGATGCAAGATGCGCTTGTGGCTGCAAACCAGGACTTAGCAGCCCTCTGGCACAACTGGGGCAGTTAGAATGCAATCCTAGGCAGACTTAACGGGGAGCAAATCTCACCGAAGTCCGTGAGGCTTACTCCCGAGTAGACATTGTGCTCACGATTGCATCAGTAAGTGCCTGGTGCAGGCGGGGAGTTTACGCACGTCTCCTTAGCCGTAAAACCCCATCAATTCCGAACTCTTAGGGAGCGCTACTTCGAAATTCACGCACACAGCCCGGAGCAACAAAGAGGTTTTCGGCACCTAAAAGACGAATAAACCATTCCACTCCATCGGCCGCATGACGTAGTCGGGGCAAGCTGTGCCTGGTGGGGGTGGAATGCAGAAAGGATCGCTGGATTGCGTTACCAGTGGCCATTCGCGGAGCAGTGGCTGGTGATGACACGTCCTGGCATCGGTTCGGTCGTTCACACATGGTGTGTGATTAAAGCACCCGCACAGGCGGTAACAGATCTGAACCTCCTGTAGGCCAGCACTTACACAAACTAGTTCTGGACTGAAAATTCCCCTACGGGACGCACGGTCCAGCCAGCGTCTAGACAGCCTTGCTCCTTCGAGGGCGATCCTGTGCATTTTTGGACCAAACAAAGTCCTGCAACAATTCCTAACACTCCCCAGCCGGCCACGGGGACTTTTTGCAGCCTAATCATACAGAGGATTTGCGCCTGTAGCCTCTTGACGCAGGGGAAAGGGCTTTCAGGGTTTCCGCGGAGTTTATTTTCACCGTAATGTGTTCATGGGGAGAGGGGCTCTCACGTTAGGGCTAGAGGATGCCGTGGCTCGAGGGAATGCAGATTTCGAAGTGCAATTGCTATCGACAGAGGCTCCCCTCTCCATAGCCTTCGATTACAGAGCTTTCTAGTGAAACTCGTCCACTGTCCGCTCTCGATCGCTTTTAACTTTCTGAGCTTTGGTTAGCTCAGAAAACTTTTCTTCCTTTCATCCTAGAGAGGAACAATGTAAAGAAACTGAATCTGGAGCGCCGACAATCGGGGAATACTTTGATTATTTCCTGACTTTCTAACCTGGTGTTTTAATAATAATAAATAAAGCGTTTTTCGTGCGGAGGTCGCTGTTCCTTTCTCGGCAACTCAAACCTCCCTTTGGAGACTCTGGATTGGAGTTGCCACCAGTCGGTGGGACAACAATCCGAAGCTAGATGGACCAATGGCCTGCTTCGGTACAAAGCCGTTTCCTAGGCGCTAAACGGAGTTGAAGGCGGGGGGCGGGGGTGAGTGAAACTCATGAGAAGGGATTACGGGATCCCTATGGCCGCACCAAAGGGACCCCGCTGCATTTCGCTCCGATGCAATGGGAGTGACGCCGCTTGGCTTGCCTCTTTCTCCGCTGAACGGAAAAAGGGGATCGGTGAGCCAAGCTTGAGGGGCAGCAATATGTGTGCGCATCCCCCTTGAATGAGCAGTCCGATCCGCAAGGTAAAGCTTGTCATTGCAAGGTGTCCCAGAGCCCGGCGGCTTCACGCCCAGCGGCGCCAGCGGTGGCGAGGTGGCAGGCACACGGCGGAGGCGGCTGCGCTGTGGAGGGGGGCAGGTGGAGAAGGCGGCGTTGCTAGCGAAGCAATCTGCTTCCTCTGTAGCTGCTTCTGTACCGTCTGGCCCAGGGTCACAGATACTTTCCAAAGATAGCACTCAGTCGCTCTGCGCTTTCCTGAAGCCGCGCAATGCCTTCCCATTATCTAGCGGAATTGAACATTTTGACGGGGAATCCCAAAGAGGTTTTCAAAGTGATTAGCGCGGAGAGGCGCACAGGCCGAGGCAGACGCTCCGCCAAGCCCTGCGCTTTCAGCGTCTTAATTTCATCCCCCCCGCCCCCCAATTCAGATGAGCTTTCGGCCCTGTCAACGGAAAATTCCCCCTTTGTTTGTTCTTAAATGAGCACCCCAAGCATTTCAGATCATGACAGTAAACTATCTCCAAAAGCTCCACATACAAATTACTTACGATGGAATTATGCAGAGGGAAATTTAAGACCCACAACCTCCTTTTAGTTTGAGGACCACATGGTCCCGTGAATCCCAGTTCTAAAGACTTTTGGTTATGAGAAAAGTGAAACTCGGGAAAGGTTTTACAGGCAGGTTAATATGTTTAGCTCTTCAAAGGGGAAAGGACAGAATGAATTAATAACTGTTTGGACAAGTAAAACTTACAGAATGGATGAGGCTGGTTTAAGGCAGTGCTGTAGTGAGTTCCTCTGAAGCTCAGGTGGGTTTGAAGTTCCTTGTCCAGAGATACTCAGTTGACATCTCCAAGTATGAAGCTCAGTGTTATGCATGTTTACTCTAAAGCAGTCCCACTGTGTTTAGAAATGCATGCTGTAGATATTATGCTGGAGTAAGAACCATTAATTTCAGAGGAATCTACTTCCAAGGAAGTACAGTGATGCTCCTAGTTTTCAGGTGTGACATTAAAGACACATGGAGCTGTGTTTATGTATAAACATGAGTGTATTCAATAACACCACGTAAAAGCTAACTTACAGCTAAACTTGAAATCCTCAGTATGTTGGAAGTATATTTTTTCACTAGAATTGATATAATATGTTTCTAGTTATTTAGGATGCACCCTGTATTTTCATTTCTTCCTACATGAATTTTCCTGTATCCACACAAAACTCAATCAATAGAATCAACAATTTGGTAGGTACACATTAACATATTTGGGACTTTCATATAAAACTACTGTGAAAATACATTATATCCTCTTACCCTAAGAAATCCTGCAGGTTGATCACTTGTTTCTACTTGAGATGAGTTCCTGCTGTTGAAATACTCAGAACCAAGTAAATGTATAAATAGAATCACAGTTATTAGTTTGAAAAACAGAAGCAAGAAGATGAAAATTTTATGTATCAACAATACTTATGATCCTATGATGCAGAAATTACATTTTTAAAAAATCTTCTATAAATCAATGTCTGTGAGCAGCCACGCAAGCACTCATCCGTGCGATACCCATACAAAACGAATTCGTAAGAATCTTACGTGAAAACAACTTTTAAAACGTTAACGAGGTGCTCCATCAACTAATCCCTGAAAATGTATTCTTACATAGGATTTATCATGACATTTCCTGCCCAGGAAACAGTCCACTAGACAGGAAACAGACAAAATAGGTCGAAAGTGCTCCCCCCCCCCCCAGTGCCCATAAAAACAACAAACACAGTCGTCCCATACATAAAGATTTCTCTCCCCTCTCTTTCCGGTCACCTATAGCGAGCCAACTTAGGGTCTCTCGCCCCGCGCCTCACCACATTTACATGAAAGTAGATCCCATAGACTTCAATGGAATTTACTTCCACGTAAGCCTCCAGTCATGGAAAAAGCCTCTCCTCGCTGGAAAGGTTACTCCTGGCCAGGCCCCATACAGGTGGATTGCAGATGGAACTGGTCCTCTCCTTGCCCGCGCCGCCGTCCCAGGTCCCGCCCACACCACCCGATTGGCCATTACTCCGTTTAAACGAAGCCGCGCGGTGTCCACCGCCAGCGACTCAAGTGCCAGCTCCCGCGGCCCGTCTCTGCACGCACGCACGCCCTCCCTCCGCAGCCTGGCCCTCGGAAGGCGTCCCGACAGGCTCAACCCACCCGCAGGCTAGCCGTCCGGGGCGCCAGGAAGGGGCGAGAAGCGACCTTCCCGCCAGAGCGGCGTGGAAATGAGCAGCCCCGATGCTGGGTACGCCAGTAGCGACGACCAGGCGCAAGGACGGTGCTCGCTTCCTCCCCTCATGATGCAGTGCCAGTGGGCAGAGTCGCTGAGCCCCTTGGCAGACGGCAAGGGCAAGGGCGAGGCGGCCGCCAGTCAAGGGCATCAGGCAGCGCCGGGACGGGCCAAGGGGGAAGCCCGAATCCGTCGCCCCATGAACGCCTTCATGGTCTGGGCCAAGGACGAGCGCAAGCGGCTGGCGCAGCAGAATCCGGATTTGCACAACGCCGAACTCAGCAAGATGCTAGGTGAGTCCGGCGGGCGAGGCTACGGGCGGCGGGCTTGGAAGGAGGACGGTCCTTTGGCAACTAGGCGTTTTGTCCCTATTGTAAAGTTCTGCTCTAACCACCGCAAACCCGGGCTGCGAAGGCGCGCGAACACAAGCGGAGTAGCCTGCGTTCCTGAAAAGTGGAACTGATCCGTGTTCTCACCACATTAGATCCGTTTGTGATTTTTGCCTCAGCTGATGAACAGCTCGCCCTAAGCTCACTCCTTTACTCGGAAGTAAAGCTACTTGTTTGAGGGAAACTTAGGATCAGCTTACTTAATGCACGGATTAACATTGGGTACAGTCCTGAATTGCTTCCCAAGTAGGTCTGCAGCCAAAAAAGCTGCCGCTTCGACGTTATTCTGGAGTGGCTTTGCCTTCCCGTGGAAACCGGCTGGCCCACGTGAACGCGAGATTCGAGGCCCTTCCAGTATCCAGGTAGCTTCGGCCGCAGCGCAGGAAGAACGCTTGCTCGCATTTTCCCAAGCAACGCAACGGGTTAAGTCCCCTGGCCGCGATGGAGCGGGCAGGAGGCAGCGAAGGAGGGATTCAGGCCGAGTTAAAACGGGACGAAAAGCAACGAGGAAATCAGTTAGAGCGTAAGGTGCTTCCCTGAAGCTTACATAGCGAAACAATCCTGATTTCAGTGCCTTTCCTTTTGATTTTAAAGCAGTGCGTGTGTTGGCTTTAATTGCTTATTTTACTTTTGTTTATTTGCATCCTGTCTTTCCGCCACAAACGGCGCTCGAGACTAATAAGTAGAGAAACGATTGATTGATTGATTTACTTGGTAGTGCCCGGCACGGTGGCACACAAGCACGCGCAACGCCCCATGCCGATGCCCTCCGGAAGCGCCGCGCTGTTTCGGGCATGGCTACGCACTGCGCAAAGGCTCTCGCCTTGCAAGGGGGCTGTAGGCGCGCCTCCAACCAGCTCGGTGGTTTGCAACGACTTGGCAGAGAGGTTTTTCCGAGAAGCGCCGGCCTGCGCGGCCAAGCGTGGGCTCCGTGTCTTGATGCGCTCTCTTCTGTGCTTCTCTCCGCTCGGCAGGCCAGTCGTGGCGGGCGCTGACACAGGAGGAGAAGCGCCCCTTCGTGGAGGAGGCGGAGCGGCTGCGGCTGCAGCACATGCGAGACCACCCGCACTACAAGTACCGGCCGCGGCGCAGGAAGCAGGTGAAGCGCCTGAAGCGCGGAGACGGCGCGCCCGATGGCGCGGGCGGCTTCCTCCCGGTCCAGCAGCACCAGCACCAGCACCAGCCGCCGCCGCCGCACCAGCACCAGCCGCTGGGCCTGCCCGTGGAGACGGGGGCGGCCGGCGGCTGCGAAGGTCTCGGGCTGCCCTACCCCGAGCAGCCGGGCTACACCAGCGGCGCTTTCCATTACCGGGACTGCGCGCCGCTCCCGCTGCCCGCCCTGGGGCCCCATTTCGGAAGCTACAGCCTGCCCACGCCGGAGCCCGAATCGCAGGGCGGCACGTGCGCGGAGCCCGCCTTCTTCCCGCCGCCGCAGCCCGAGGAAGGGGGCTGCCTGCTGGGACCCTACGGCTACCCCACGCCCCCCGGCGCCGAGTACCCCTGCAACGGCGCCCCTGCCGCCGCGCACGGCAACGGCAGCACCGCTCCCGCGGGCGCCGGGCTCTTCCGGGGCCGCTTCTCGGTCCCTCTGCACCCCTATGCCGCCCCCTCGCCCGCCCAGGACCCCGCGCAGCAGCAGCACCCGCCCTGCCGCCGAGGCGACGCCGCCGTGGGCCTGGAGCACCTGCCCGCGCACGACGTGGAGCTGCTGGCCGACGTGGACCGCGCCGAGTTCGAGCAGTACCTGCCCTTCGGCTGCAGGCCTGCCGACCTGGGCTTCTCGTACGCGGGCCACGAGGGCTCCGAGGCCAGCGCCGCCGCCGCCGCTTACTATTGCGCGGCCGCGGGCGGGGGCGGAGCCTATCCGGAGCTCTGAGGCTTTGCGCGGGATGGCTGCAGGGACAGACTGACGGACCGCCTTGGCTCTATTTATTGTAACTTATTGGCGACTAAATGTTTTCGAAGGCCACTTAGAGAAACTCGAGCGGGACCAAAGAGCTCCACCGCAGGGTGCGGGGCTTCCTGGTTCTTCTTCCCCGCCCGCAAAGCGCAAACGCTCCCCGCACGTGCCGGCCGCGAAACTCTTCGTGGGCAGCTTTGAGGACAAGCAAAACACGCAGCCGCTCCCTCGAGTGCCTCGGTCCGCGGTTTTTATACACCCTTGTGGGGCTTTGTACAGAATGACTTCAATATCCCAGGAAACGTTTGACTAGGAAACGGCTGGGCAATAAATAACAACCCAGATGGTTATGCATGATGGTGTTTGTAATGTGTCGTTTTTCTAGGATTTCACATGTTGAGCCTATTAAAACCCAGCATTTCCTTTTCTAAGAGTGCAGAGTTGGAGCGATCCTTCACAGCCCACCCGTGTGTTTAACACAGCCTGTGCTGAGTGTCTCTCAAAGGCACAATCCTATATACATTTACATGGAACAACAGCATGCAGGGACTCACCTGAACGGCAATACCTTTTTTATCTCGAAATATGCCTAGGATGGTGCCTTAAATGCTTATGGGTGTTCTCTGGGAACTTCGAGAAACCAGAAGAATGGTATGTCTAGCCGGTATGTTTAAACCAGCCTTCCTCAGCTTCTAGATGAATGAGACTATCATTCCTATAATTTCCCAACAAGGAATGGAAAGCGCATTGGGAAGGCTGATTTAAACTGTTAAACTTGCGAGAATAATTAAGTAACACCTGAGATTACACTAAACTGGAAGATATGAAATCTCCAAAGCATTAGCAGTAGACCTACAATTAGACTTAATTCCTTGGAATTCTTAGTCAACATTGATAGGATCACAGTGTTAATCAGAACCTGAATGCTTCCTCCTGGTTAAGTCCCATGGCTGTTAGCACCAGTCAGTATTGCTTAGGATAGTAGTAGCAAAGCTCTCCAGGCAGCTGGTCTAAAATAAATGCTAGCATTTTACCATCAGACTGAAAAACTTAATCCAAAATAGTGTCCAAAAGGTTAATGACAGCTAAATTAATGCTCAAAATGTTTTTGAAGCCAATTAGAAGGATTTAAAAATAGCACCAAATTTACTAAATCTACTTAAGGGAAAAAATCTAAATCTACTGGGAAATAATTTCATGAAACGTGTATGAATTAGCATCATTCATATTTAACTTTTGCTCAGTTATAATTCCATTCACAGTGAAATGAGATGTTTCTCACTGCAGGGTTTGCTATGGGTTTTTTTTTTTAATGGGATCCTAAAGAAGCAGTTTACGGCATGCTTAGTCACAAGCCCCATCATGTTAAATGGAATTTGTTCCTTCTAGAATATGTATGTATCATAATCCCGTTTATGTTTATGTAGATGTAGGTCATTGTTTTTGCTGAAAAAGTCAGTTGGTTTATTTCCCAGATAAGTGGCGACAGGAATGCACTTTGCATAGGAGTGTGTTCTTAGGTTCCAAGCCTTAGACACAACGATTAAAATTAATAATTTATTTCCTGGGTAATTATCCACTAAAACTGGTGTGAACATAAATCGTTACTCTGGTTGCTCTTTCAGAAAAAAAAATAGTGGATTTATCACCAGAATAATGTTAGAGCACTGAATAAACAATTCTGGGAAGTACAGACCGAAAGTATTCCCTATCCTATGCATTCTTGGAAGCATGTCCTATTGTGCTAAGTGGGGCTTGGTTCTCAGTGATAAAATTGCTCAAGTGAAAACATGCTCTACTGCACAGGCTTTTCCCCACTTCGATTTGCATCCGTTACATAAACACATGCTTCAGAGATGAGAGCCATCTGGTCTGTGCTTGTCCTCAGTTTGTTCCAATGGGCAACAAATGAAATTAACCATAGCAGATCAAATTGCATTGATGAGTTCCTTCAGTTGGTCAGAGCTGGTGCCCATGCTTTCAACTATCTCACAATATTCAAATACTTCCAAGGTTCCATGTTCTTGTAAACCTCTAGCCCCATAAAAATAAGATCTTTTAAAAAACTGGCTGCTGTTAGTAGAATTGGTTGTGTGTAGGATAACAGTTTGCACCTGGGGGCAGTAAACGCTCCTGCCCTGAAGAGGACACATGCAGTGAATGGTTGAAAGGAACAAACACTGCTCCAGAACAATGTTTCTGAATGATCATTACTGGGAGATCAATCCTATGCTTGTCTCCTCAGAGGTAAGTCCCATGGAGTTCTGATGATTCAGTGTAAGATGGTATTTAAAACTATTTTTATTTTTTTTAGAGTTGCTTCACATCCACTCATAAAATACCCAACAAATATCCTGGGCCCCTAAGCCTCATTTAAGAAAACTAATGACATAGCCTGGATTATCTATGACTAGAAGATTTTTACATGGTAGGGTTATTTTCTCTATTTGTATTTAGACCAGCTAGTCTTATAAATTACTTCATGGGAGAAATGCATCTGTTTCTAACTATGTTTTTTCTTATTCAATCAGCCAAAAGTGTCAAAAATTATTAAGCTGCTGTTGTACTTGCAAATGTGATTGCAATGGGAAAAATATGTAAGGTCATAAATGGGTATGTGACAGGCATGGGAGGGCTGATGTTGACATTCAGCAGGGATAGGGGCTGCTGTTTGCCATCGACAGTAATCTTTTTATTTCTAATATGTCTCTTTCTGAAGAAGTGGTTCAGTTGTAGCTGGGATGTTTTACTGTTCCAGATGAAGAGAAGACAAGGAGTTCCAGTCCACAAACCCCAATACAGAATACTCTGGAAGTTGGGAGCACCAATATGATTCCAAAGAAAATCTTGAATCCTACCAGTTTTATCCTAAATTCACATCCCATTACATCACTCATTTTAAAGAATTAGATCAATTGCCCTTTGAACAGAGCACATTCCTTTCTTTTTTATATATCTATATTTTATTAAAATTTTTAAACTAACACTAAAAAAAAAAGTCACACACATCACAAACATTGGATTCACTGGGTCAACCTCCTACTACATATTTTTTAACATTCTAATATCAAATTCAAATTAATTTATCATAGTTTGAAAAACATCTCTAAATTTACGCCAAGTCCCGTTTCTCCAGCCAATTATAAAAAGAGTCCCAAGTTCAATAGAAATCAGTATCCTCTTTCTCCTTCAACGATAAAGTCAGTCTATCCATTTCTGCACAGTCCAAGATCTTTCTTACAATCAATCCATCGGTGGGCAGCTCCTCACTTTTCCCAATACTGAGCAAATGCAATCCTCGCCGCTGTAATTAGATGCAGTATCAGATACATTTCCTGTCTGTTAACATCTTCCGGTATAATGCCTAACAAGAAAACTTCGGGTTTAAAAGCAAAGGGTTTTTGTAATATTTCCTCCATCCATCTATGTATTTTAATCCAGTACTTTTTTGCGTTGTCACAAGTCCACCACATATGATAAAAAGTACCCACTTTGTTTACATTTCCAACATCTATTTGACATATTTGGAAACACCTTAGCTAGTTGACTTGGTGACAAATACCATCTATAGAACATTTTATATAAGTTTTCTTTATACGAAATTGCTAATGTTACTTTAATGTTTCTTTCCCATAGTTTTTGTCACTTTTCTAGTTCAACATTAAATCCAAAGTTTTGTGCCCATGTTATCATAGTTTCCTTAACCTGTTCTTCCATTTTCCTGTCAAGTAAAAAAAAAAAAATATAATCTTTTAATAATTTTCTCATCTGTTTCAAGCATCACTTGATCAAATTCTGTTAGGTCTCTATAGAACCCCCATGTTTTACAATCCTTCACATTCCTTTCTTTAGACCACATATGAAGGCCCAGCAAAAGTTTGTTTTTCCTTTTCCCTTGTAAAATAGAGAAGAGACTATTGGAGGAAAGGTGGTGTTTGAAATTTGTCTTGAGGTTGTCTGGTGTTGAAGAACCCAACATGAAAAAACAAACTGGCAGTGCCTCAGACTGAGTCTAATCCTATGGGTTTTTAGTCAGTAGTAAGTCCCCTTTAATTCAATGGGATTTATTTTAGAACAAAGGTACTTAGATTATTATTGGCACAGGCTTTCCTATTTCAAATGCCTGTTTTTCTTTTAGACTCAATTTCATGGACTTCCAATCATTATAAATGAAAATGTTATTTTCCTGTTCTTCATCCAAGGATCTCTGAGGTACAGGACTCTTTCCCTGCTCAGTTTCATTTTCATAACACCCTTTCCAGTTTGCTTGGTCTGAAAAAAAGACTGCCTGGTCTATTTCAATCCTGGCCATCACCTCCTTGGTCCAGTTTGGATAATGGGCCACAAGGACATGAACAGCTGTTCCTCTCTCCTCAAAATCACCACCTGCCCCCTCCTGTCATACTGAAAATGAATAATTAACTGGCATAATGCACTTTATTCTTCTTCTTTGCCTCCCCAAACTAAAGGGTATAACAATTAAGCCTGCCCGAAAGTTACACCCTAGAAGCAGCCTTCAGTTCAGCTCTAACCTGGATGTTTGGGGATACTCACCTAGGGAAAGGTTCTCAGCAATTTTTGAACCTCACATCTAGCTCTGTATGGCAGGTGCTAAGAATTCCCCATTATTGTTTCTATATGTGAGGGTAGGGAACAGTTGGGTTGGTAGTCATTTAAGTTCATTTCCAGCCTGTAATTAAATGAAAAAAAAATGATTCTGTAATCCTGAATTTGTCTGCCCATAACTGGCTCAAGATTCTTTCCATCTAATCCAGTGAAGGAGAACTAGTGGCTAGCCAGACACTGTGCCCACAACTCCAGCATCCCTCACATTTACCGGTGCTTGCTAGGATGGAAGGAAGTTGTGGGTCAAGGCATCTAGAGGTCCAAAAATTGCTTGCAAAGTGTCACCAGCTATATTGATTCTGCAAGTCAGGAAAAGAACAGAGTAGGTGGATAGTGCCACATCTTTTATTAAACCAATTTGTTCAGTCCTGGATATAGAGGCAAACAATCCAGTTCATTCCCTAGAGCAGGGGTTGGCAACCTTTAACACTCAAAGAGCCATTTGGACATGTTTCCCACACAAAGGAAAACACTGGGAGCCACAAAACCCTTTTGACATCTAAAATGAAGATAACACTGCATATATCGTTTTTTACCTTGATGCTATGTATATCTTCATTACAATTTAGCTGCAGCTCTTGTTCAGTCACTAAAAACTGTTATTTTTAATCTTGCATTATAAACTAGTAGGATTCCTTTCATATATTTTGAATAGGAGAACAGCTTCCTGAAGAGTCAAAGTCAGTGCTAAAGGGCTGCATGCATTAAACAGCAAATCCCATAAGATCGTCAGCAGTAAAAGCAAAGGAATCTACCCACATATCATTAAATGCTGGGTTTTCTTCAGAAACTTTTCTTTTCTTCGATTTATCAAAGATTTGGCCTACCAGGGGAAGTTGCAGATATAGGTGTGTTTAGTGACTGATTAGCAGATAAACACTCAAGTGATGTGAATTGTGACAGGTCCCAAGTGCAGCTTTTATTATTCAGAAGAAGGAGATTACATTTGGACAAAGAGAATCTTTTCAGGAGGATTTGAGTAACATGAGAGCCTTCAGGAAGCTTGTTCCACTCTTTCCCTGCACAACAGCAGGGGAATGTAGCAATTTACTTAACCAGCTAGCCCGGAGTTCCTGAGTGGATGCCTCATCATCACCTATTGGTATTTTGTAACTCGGGCACCTCAAGTTACAAAATTGGTGGCTGTGACACGTATTTTGAGCAATGGAGCCGCAACAGAGGGATTCAAGTGCCATGTGTGGCTCCAGAGCCGCGGGTTGCTGACCCCTGCCCTAGAGTATATTGGACTTTGGGGTATATTGTGCTTTGAGAGCCTCTGCTATAGGTTAGCTTTAAAAATAATTCATATTTTAAAAACTAACTCTGTTACCAAATGTAAATCGCTAAATCTGTATCAACACAAATGCTATACATTCTATGCCCACTTATGTGTTCTCTAGAATTCTTGATCAGGAAAGATGGT